GACTATTTTTTTTAGTGGTTCTGTACATGGATGCAAGTATTCAATATCAAGGTGACTTTGACAAACTGTTTTAAAGCTCCAAGTAGAATAAAACGCAGTGTTCTCTCAGAGAGGCAACATAAAGGAATCTGATAACCAGTTCACAGTAATTGCCCAGAAAGTGGCTCCCTAGTGAAAGCCTGGCTGACAACAAGCAAGTCCAAGTGCGACCTTGAACATGGACATTGGCTTTCAAAGAGAAGGATTTGTTAAAGCAAAGAGGGGCTCAAAAGTTATTAACTGTTGGGAAGACCCACCAGAGTTTGCATTAAAAGATTGAACTTGAGATATTTTTCAAGCACCAATTCTCAATATTCATTTCAGAGGATCCTATGTGTCTATTGATAAAACCACAGTGGTCTTTTCAAATGGGTTAGAAATACTTAAGTCAATAATTGGGATTTTCTCAATTTTACATTCCACTTGTATATATTTGTAAATTTGGCCACCATTCCTTGCTTAGACTAAAACTTAAAGTAAATGATAAGTCATTTATTGCAGAATTACACATTTAGTTATTGTAGGATATCATTTTATGAATTTTCAGTGTTCAAATACTTGAATAATCTGAGAAATACTGTTATAATTATAGTTTGTTACGTTGGACATTGTTCAGAAGATAGAAAAATGCAAATATTGTGTTGTCTAAGATTCAACAGGGGACCTGCTTTCTCAAAAGATAGGATTAATTTAAAACCAACATTTACTGTCTTATGGGTCTCTGAGCAATGGTGGACAGAGAGCTGTGTCTCATTCATCTTTGCTTTTGTGGTGCTAGAGTAGTGCCTGGCACAGAGTAGGTCCTCAACACATTTTCATCTTACATAGAAATTATATGTATAAAAGCAAGAAATGCTTGGTTTCAAGAGTGCTTGAATAGTGTATTAAGAGTGTCTTGAAGATGCACTCTCAAATTTTGTTTCCCTCATTTTTTTTTTAAATTGTGGAATCATGACTCTGTTTCTGACTCAATGTCACCTATTCCCAGGACCCTGCCCTTCAAACTCAAAGCTATAGGTGAATTTCACTCCCCCCCCCATCTTATTTTACAAATGAGTTCACGTTGCTATACATTGTGTAGTTTTATGCAAAGCTCTGTGTTGGGCAATGTAAGGCTATAGGCATCAGTGAGGTATTGTCCTTGTTCTTAGGGAGTTAATGTAGTCAGAGAGAGCGATACCCAGGGAACTAATTATATTTCAAGGCAGAAAGAAAAAGTGCTGTGGTTAAAGTACAAACAAAATGCTGTGGTTGCAGAGGGGAAGGAGTAATTAATTCAAACTGGGAGGAGATCAGGAACAAGGAAGGAAAGAAACTAATATTTATTGAGGGCTTAGAAGCTGCCAAAGGCAGGGCTGCTGCTTTCTTTCCCTCAGGCTCTGGGAGGAGGTTGTGTTGTGGCCCTGGCCAGTGTGGTTCAGTGGTAGAGCATCCATTGGCCCATGCACCAAAGGGTCTTGGTTCGATTCCCTGTTAAGGACATGTACTGGGGTTGCAGGTTTGATCCCCAGCTCCAGTCGGGATGCATGCAGGAGGCAACCAATTGATGTTTCTCTCACATCAATGTTGGTCTCTCTCCCCTCCCTCCACCCCTCCCTCCCCTCTTTCTAAAAATCAAATGAGGATTAACAACAAAAGCCTGGGGAGAGGAGGTTTGGCCACCGGCCCATGTTGGGAAGGTCCATGTTCCAGAAAAAAGGAGACCATGGGAAGTCACCCTTCTACTGGTCTGCAGGGACATGGACTGGGACAAGATTCAGCCTCAGCTTGAGATGGTTCGGTGGGAAATGGGGTTGATACGAGGAAGCTGGTTTCAGTTAAAGTGAGGAGGTGTTTGGGAGAATTCTAGGCACAGATGAAGAATGTTAGTAAGAATAAGCTTTAGAGCAGTGGTTCTCAACCTTGGCTGCACATTAGAATCACCTGGGAATCTTTTTAAAATCCTGATTTCTGGGCCTCATCCTCCGGAAATTCTGTTTCTTTGTTATGAGGTGGAGCCACAACATTAGTAACAAAGACATGGAATTTCCAGAGGATGAGGCCCAGAAATCAGGATTTTAAAATGATTCCCAGGTGATTCTAATGTGCAGCCAAGGTTGAGAACCACTGTAATAAAGGAAAGACAAGGCCCACATTTATGTCGATGAGTATAAATTACTGAGGAAAAAGAGAGCAGGGCTTTGGGGGCGGAGTGGGGAGTTGTGATGAGGACATGTGGGAGTGTCTATTCAATGGGGAGAGTGCATCAGTCCTAAGGTTCCAAAGGAAGCAAAGGAGAGTGGATGGGTCAGTTTGCTTCGTTTTCTTGGGTGCTTAGCTCTCCAGTGTGCTAGTGAGTGTTGGCGTGTCCCTAAAAGAGGTGGGAGCAAGTGTTGGTTTGTTTGTTAGTGTTCTTTCCAACTGAAGTGTCCACTCCTTGAGAGCATAGGTTGTCTCCATCACTACACCATTCCCCAAAGAGCCTAGCATTGGAGTGGGCGCGTGCAGATATTCACAAAATCATACTTGCTTTATGACAAGCAGGAAGATACATTTCAGCAGAGCCAAGAGGCTAGTTATGGATTTTACAGGGTTGTGGGCATTTAACCTGAAAATGAACCACACAGTTACAAAGTAGTTTAAAGTTATTTATGGCTTTACAATCAAGAACTATTTTCTGATGCCATGATTTTACAGAAAGAAAATGGTGTCAATTGATTAACTTCTACAGTAATTTGTTAGCTGCTCATTCTATTTTCCTGTTTTGACTAATGAAAACATTTAGAGTTGCATCTTTATGAAGGCTAAGTAGCTCAGGCAGTTTGACTGTCTTAGAATAATAGTTCAGTTGGTTGGGTGTCGTCCCATGCATTGAAAGGTTGCTAGTTAGATTCCCAGTCAAGGCACATACCCAGGTTGTGGGCTACTGAGGACATGTAGGAACTAGTCAATCAATGTTTCACTCTCATATCAATGTTTCTCTCTCTCTCCTTCTACCTTCTCTCTCTAAAAATCAATAAAAAATATTTTAAAAAAAGAATAATTAGAGAATTTTGCACCATCAACCAGTGGGAAACCTACTTCTCCTGCAGGTTCCCTCATTAGTGTCTCTTACTGAGCAAAGCCCACCTCTCCAGAATGCTACGATAAAACATTTTGCAAGCAGTTATGGGACATAATCAGCTGATCTAAACTATCATTAATTTACAAGTTAGGACGGTGTAAGACAAATTTTGTCCTTATGTGAGATTGCTTAGGGGAGTTTATAATATTAGGGCTTAAAAGTGGTTTCCTAACTTACATGAAGGGCTAAACCAAAACAGGGAACTTTGTGGTAGATATGTCCCTTTTACCTTTCTGTGCCTGTGATATAGATTATGTTTATAATCTATAATGCCATTCTTCCCTGTGAGCCTAGATATGATTTCAAAATCCTTCTCAATACAACACTTTAAACAGCAAGAGGTTGGGATTAGCTTGAAAGATGAACTAGACAGGTAATCATCCCTAAAAAGCTATAAACCCCTCTGGGCAGGTCCCAGGTCCAATTTAGGACTTGACATAGAGTAGGTTTTTAATAAATGATTTTGGGAATAAATGATAGACAGAGAAATAGATGAATTAAAAATGCACAAATGAAATCTCATTTATTTTTCTAAAACTGGTATAGGAATGTATGTAGGATGCTTCCTTCTCTGCCTTGTGGGAAATGTACTGCATGTCACCATTAGCCTTGTGAACACCAGCTCATAGGATGATAGAGTGGAAAGGACCTGGAGAATGTTTAGTGACAACTTTTCAGAGATGAAAAGAAGGTGCAGAGAGGGCATCATCTGTAGTTCAGGCTCTGGAAGAGGGAGCCACGCAGGCCACTGTATTCCACACCTTACTAACCCTGTGGCCTTTGGCATTTGCTTTGTCCCTTCATCTACAAAGTGGGGATTGTGTCTTATCTGCCGGTAGGGTTGCTGTGAAGCTTAAGCAAGGTAAGGAATACGAAGTGCTTACAGTAGTGCCTGGCACATGGTAAATACTTTAAAAAATGTCAACATGTCCCTCCCTCTCCCACTCTTTTTCATTAATAGAAGCTGAACCAGTGATGGTACTATAAGTAGTTTTATCATAAGGTTTATCATATTATGTTTTGCTATGTTTTTTTATCATATGTTCAGTGAATTGAAAATTCTTTCAACCCACCCTCATTTTACATACGTAGAAACTAAGGCAAAGAGAATACAAGGAATAGGATTCTTATGAAATAAGAAAAAAAAATTTCCTGAGTGCAAAACATACAATTCCTGAATGTCACACTCTTTTCTTCATCTAATCATATTGTTTCATAATACATGGCATGCTTCATAGAAAATATATTTATAAAAGATGTCTTTAAATAAAACAGTGATAAAATTTAATGAAAAATGAGTGGGCTGAATTTTCCTTTTAAAAAAACTCAGCATTTTCATTGTATATTTGAACTTTCAGGTCAGTTATTAGTTGGGGGTTGGGGGGAGCAGAAAAGGGAAAGTTGTAGTTGGCTCTCTGTTGGTTGCCAGGAAACATACAAAAGCAGCAGGGACAGAGGAAACAGCTGGGCATTGCTGGGAGGGTGGCCTGCAGAGGGGAGCGCTACATTGGGGCAGGGACCTGGCAGCTGCCCCATCTAATGTCTCCAGACAAGAAAAGGGAGTTTAAAACCACAACATGGTAATAGACGCGAGGTTAGCCAACAAGGCTTTGAGAAGTTGCCTTGCTAATGCGTGTGAAATGGGGATTAGAAGCTGCACTCTGGGTCCGTTGCTATAAACATTGGGGGAAGAAGCTTTATCTGTTTTTAACCAAGTCAGGTCCAACCGAGTATAAGGAGGGGGTGTTTTAAAACCACTGGGCTATGGACTTGGAAAACGAGCTGTGGAATTCAGGAAGAGTGGGGTTGAGGGTTTATTCTCCACCTCTCAGCTTAAACATCCTGCCTCCTTATTATAAGCCTTGAAATGTATGTTTATTTGAAATCCTATTGCTAAGTTGGCTTTTTTTGTTTTGTTTTGTTTTCTGAAGACACCTTTGGAAGAAAAAATAATAAAGGCATAGAAATAGTTGAAAGCTGTTGAAGGAGGTGAAGCCATTATGAGCTCCCAGAGTGCTGCACTTGAGTTGAACAAGGGGTCAGAGCCTGGGCGAGGGAGGACAGAAGGTGAAGACCACAGCACAGCTTGGCTTGAAAACCAGCTCAGTGTGGGCGACTTTGTCAAAATCCAGAGGGCCTTTGAGGTAAGCGTTCATCTCATTTACTGGAGGCTTGGACTTGCTCATGAAGGAGACTAGGATGAAAAGGAAGATTTTTCTCTTAAAATAGCTTATATATTTAATGTTTAAAAATAAGTTCATTGTATTGTGTTCCATAAATGAGTGAGATCATGTGATATTTATCTTTCTCTGACTGGCTTATTTCACTTAGCATAATTCTCTCCAGTTCCATCCATGCTGTTGCAAATGGTAAGAACTCCTTCTTCTTTTTTTTTTTTGACACAGACAACATGGGGGTAAGAGCATAAGTGGGGGGGTGGGGGTAATGTGGGGATAAGGACACATATGTAATAACTTAATCAATAAAGAAATTTAAAAAATAAGTTCACATGCTGACAGATGATTACTAGACTTAGTGGAGTGATTACATCATAAGGTATAAAAATGTTGCATTGTTAATTGTATACCTGAAACTAATATAACCAATATAAGATTATATACCAACTATACTTAGATAAAATATTAAAAAAGAAAAATACATAAAAGCATTATTCTTAAAAACAAAACAAACAACAAAACAGGACATTTTTAAAGAATTGGTCAGGCTTGGATTTAACACCAGAGTAATTTTATACCTCCATTCTTCCAACCAAATTATATTATTTAGTATGAAATTGCTTCTGTTGAATACCATTACAGTGAAGAAGGAAATTCATTCTTGGAAAAAATTCTTCTTGGAGATCAATAAAAAGTATGGTTATGAGTAGGGAAAGCCAGGTCTCTAAGGTGACTCCCAGCAAGAACTCTTCTTGCAAATAACAGGGAAGTAAGGCTTAGGAAATGCAAATATCTGCCTCTAGTTTGAAAAAATTCTCCCTGCCTCCCCCCTGAGTGACAACTCCTTTTCAAAGCTGATTTTGCTACTTCATTGTCCAGAGATTCCAAGTGAGGGACCAGTCTCCCACTTTTTTTTCCTAAATATTGGAGCAGTGACAAGAAAAACAAAACTACAAGTTTTCTTTTTAATTGTACATCTATATATATATATAGCCTAAGCGACTATTCCACTGTTCGACCATTCAACCGTTTGACTAGTAGCTATGACACTCACTGACCACCAGGGGCAGACACTCAATACACAAGCATGGAAACATGGAACAGACTGATGGATTTCAGAGGGAAGCAGGAGGAGGGAGGGTAGGAAGAGATTAACCAAAGATCTTATATACATACTAGAGGCCTGGTGTATAGATATGTGCACTGGTGGGGTCTCTTGGCCTGGCCTGCGGGGACGGGGCTGAAACCAGCAGTCCAACATCCCCTGAGGGGTCCCAGATTATGAGAGGGCACAGGCCAGGCTGAGGGACCCCACCAGTGTATGAATTTGTGCACTAGGCCTCTAGTATAAAATAAACCTTAAGAATCCTATATAATAAAAGGCTAATATGCAAATCAACCAAAAGGCGGAACAACGGATCACTATGATGCGCACTGACCATCAGGGGGCAGATGCTCAACGCAGGAGCTGCCCCCTGGTGGTCAGTGCACTCCCACAGGGGGAGCGCTGCTCAGCCAGAAGCCGGGCTCATGGCTGGCGAGCGCAGTGGCAGTGGCGAGAGCCTCTCCTGACTCTGCGGCAGCACTAAGGATGTCCAACTGATAGCTTAGGCCCTCTCCCTGCAGGGAGCAGGCCTAAGCCATCAGTTGGACATCCCCCAAAGGCTCACGGACTGCGAGAGGGTGCAGGGTGGGCTGAGGGACCCCCTACCCGAGTGCACAAACTTTGCACACTGGGACTCTAGTTTTAATTATAAATGCATAATTTATTTCTTAGTTAATTAGTTGGGAATTCTGTGGCTATGCACCATAAAGAGAATACTCATCATAATGATTTTTAGTTTCTCATCTGGGCAGGAAGAAGTGCTCTTCTGTGCTGTGGAACTTAGATAGGCATGAGCCTCCATCTATTCTACTTCATTATGTTTGCTAAAATATGATCTCAGGGATTCAGAAGTTCCTCCAAGGGTGCTTGGAAGTGTCCATATTAATTTGAAATAGATACACAATATTTTGGAATATTGCCTTGAAATTAACAAAGTATGATGAAATCTAACAACTATATTATCCTGTAATTGGCACAAATTTTAATCTTTAGCTATCAAAAAAGAAAAAGTATTTGCTAACCACTGAAAAACTACTATACTGTGTTTTGTATAACAAGTTAGATTTTACCTGTGTTGATAAATTCCTGTGCCAATAACATCAATCATTTTTTTACAATAGAATCTATCATATTTAGAAGCAAAGACCTGCTCTGCCCTACACTTTGCTCATTCTAATCTTTATGTATTTGTTGTCCATCCAACCCCATTTGTCTGAAAGATTTCAGGGCTGCTCATGTCCGATGCCCCAAATAAATTTGCCATATTTTGATAGATGTAGCAAACATTTTGACAGGGCATTCAGAAAAACATATCAGCAGATTATGATAGCTTTGACTTTGCAATGAATAGAAACGTGGCAGTTTTATTCTGGTGCTAAGAACACAAACAATTTGAATGCTCAGGTTTATTAGGAGAGTCAACATTATAATATTGATATGTTAGAGAGTGAAACTGCTTCAGAAGGTTGGGGGAGGGGGTAGGCCAGGGGTCCTCAAACTTTTTAAACTGGGGGCCAGTTCATTGTCCCTCAGACCGTTGGAGGACCGGACTATAGTTTAAAAAAAAACTATGAACAAATTCCTATGCACACTGCACATATCTTATTTTGAAGTAAAAAAACAAAACGGGAACAAATACAATATTTGTATTTGCATGTGGCCCGCGGGCCGTAGTTTGAGGACCCCTGGGGTAGGCATTCTTTTCAAATTACTGATTGATTATCTGGAATAAACCTATGTGAAACTGGTCAATTCAACCTCAAGATTTTTCTTTTCTCTTCTTTTCTTTTTAACTTTAATTGCTTTAAAGGCCAGACCACTAATTTTGAAATTACCAGTTGGGAAAGCACATATTACTGATGGGAGAAGAAATTGTAGTCCAGAGCTTGCATGAATATAGAGAATCTAATGACGGTTTTTTTAAAAGAAATTGAGCTTTGCAGGTGTATTATCAAGAAAAACAATGAAGTCTGTCCATTTTTTAACAGACCCAATGCACACAGAATGGAAGAATTCAATGGCACATGTGCAAGTAGGACTACAAGTTAGGCCCTGGAGCCAACATGATTTTCAAACACAGCATGGACGCCTAGGAAGAATGATACCCTAGGCTATTTCCAGGAAGCCCAGCCCATCAGTCATGAGCATTGGGCCCACAGGTACAGATAGAGCTGCAAAAGGAAACATTGCCCTCGGCAGCTGTCCTGCAGCACAGAGCTCTAAAGGCAGTGATCTGTAGCCCAATCACTAAAGATACAATCTGAGCCCCCAGAGATGTTCAGGGAGGGTACTCAGAACAAATGTGTCTTGTGGGCGAGTGGAATCTAAACACAATATACTTGTGCTTACTTCACCTCAAAGGACCGGAGAAGTTCAGTAGGCAATTGTGCTTGTCTGAGAATTGTGCTTGAGGTGTAATCTATCTATATATATATATATATAACAACTGTAATGGCCATAATAACCATAATGACCAGTTGCTATGATGCCCACTGTGGCCAGCGAACGGCTCGATCAGGGTGTGGGGCCAGCTGGCCAACCTTGCAGCCCCTCCTCCCTGCCGGATTCCCCCTGATTGGACTCTACCACCCAGATCAAGAACGGGGCAACTGGCCAAATGCCCCCTTCCTAGCCCCCCACCCATGCCAGCCCCACCCCTCATCAGCCAGCCCCCCCCAGAATAGGCCCACAGCCCCTCCCCCAACCGGCCCACCCCTGATCACATCCCTCACCCCAATAGTGGGCGGGACTGGACAGCCAACATCCTGCAGCCCCTCCCCCCTGGCCGGCCACACCCTCAATGGGCCCCCACCACCCTGATCAGCCTGCAGCACCTGCCCCTGGCCAGCCTCACCCCTGATTGTCATAAACACCTCAACAGGAAGTAGGGCCGGCCAGCCAACTTCCTGCAGCCCCTCCCCCATCCGGACCCACACCTTATGGGCCCCCACCACCAGATTGGCCCCCAGCCCCTCTCCCCAGTTGACCCCACCCCAGATTGCCCCCAACCTCGATCAAGGGCAGGGCTGACTGGCCAACCACCCATGGCCCCTCCCCATGGCCAGCCCCTCCCCCAATCGGCCCCCCAACCCCAATTGGGGGTGGTGCCCTCCATCCAATTGCCCGCAGCCCCTTCCCCCAGCCAGCTCCGCCCTGACTGGGCCCCAATCAGGGCAGGCTGGTCGGCCAACCTCCCATCTTCTCCTCCTCCTGACAGGCCCAGCCCTGACCTGACCCAATTGGAGCCAGGTTGGCTGGACCCCACCCATGCACAAATTGGTGCACTGGGCCTCTAGTAAAAGGAATAAATCCACAGAATGTATGATATTCTCATGCTTGGTTGCCTTTTTTTAATTATTTATTTTTTATTTTTTGTCCAAAATTTTACATATGTCTGCTTTTTCCCTGCTTGACCTCTCCCCCCAGCCATTCCCACCCTGGGCAAGCCCCCATTGCCCCAGCGTCTGTGTCCATTGGTTATGCTAATATGCATGCATACAAGTCCTTTGGTTGCTCTCTAACCCCTGTTCCCCCCCCCCCCCCGCCATTTGTCACTGGATCTGTTCTTATTCATCAAATTATGTTGATTATTATATCCCACAAATGAGTGAGATCATGTGATATTTATCTTTCTCTGACTGGCTTATTTCATTAGCATATTGCTCTCCAGCTCCACCCATGCTGTTGCAAATGGTAAAAGTTCTTTCTTTTTTATTCCATTGCGGTGTAGTATTCCATTGTGTAGATGTACTGAAGTTTTTAACCCACTCATCTGCTGAAGGGCACTTAGGTTGTTTTCAAATTTAGCTATTGTAAATTGTGCTGCTATGAACATAGGGGTGCATATATCCTTTCTGATTGGTGTTTCTGGTTTTTGGGGATATAGTCCTAGAAGTGGGATTACTGGGTCAAACAGGAGTTCCATTTTTAACTTTTTGAGGAAACTCCATACTGTTTTCCAGAGTGGCTGCACCAGTCTGCATTCTCACCAGCAGTGCACAAGGGTTCCTTTTTCTCCATATCCTTGCCAGCACTTGTTTGTTGATTTGTTGATGATAGCCATTCTGACAGGTATGAGATGGTATCTCATGGTTGTTTTGATTTGCATCTCTCGGATGATTAGTTACTTTGAGCATGTTTTCATATGTCTCTCAACCTTTTGTATGTCCTCTTTCAAAAAGTGTCTATTTAGGTCCTTAGCCCACTTTTTAGTTGGATCGTTTATCTTCCTTTTGTTAAGTTGTATGAGTTCCCTGTAAATTTTGGAGATTAAACCCTTATCTGAAATATCATTGGCAAATATGTTCTCCCATGCAGTGGCTTTCTTGTTGTTTTGTTGATGGTTTCTTTTGCTGTGCAGAAGCTTTTCATTTTGATGTAGTCCCATTTGTTTATTTTCTCCTTAGTCTCCATTGCCCTAGGAGCTGTGTCTATAGAGATATTGCTACACATATGTCTGCTATTTTGCTGAATTCGGAGTCTTGTAGGATTTTTATGGTTTCCCGTCTTACATTTAAGTCCTTTAGCCATTTTGAGTTTGTTTTTGTGTATGGTGTAAGTTGGTGATCTACTTTTATTTTTTTGCATGTATCTGACCAAATTTCCCAACACCTTTTATTGAAGAGACTGTCTTGACTCCATTGTATGCTCTTGCCTCCTTCGTCAAATATTAATTGAGCATAATGGCTTGGGTTGATTTCTGGGTTCTCTGTTCTGTTCCATTGGTCTTATATGTCTGTTCTTGTGCCAGTACCAGGCAGTTTGGAGAACCGTGGCTTGGTAATATAGCTTGATATCTGGTATTGTGATCCCTCCGACTTTGTTCTTCTTTCTCAGGATTGCTGTGGCTATTCAGGGTCTTTCTTTATTCCAGATAAATTCTTGGAGAGTTTGTTCTAGATCTTTGAAGTATGCCATTGGTATTTTAATGGGTTTGCATTGAATCTGTAGATTGCTTTGGGTAGTATGGACATTTTAATGATGTTGATTCTACCAATCCATGAACATGGTATGTTCTTCCATTTGTTTATGTCTTCCTCTATCTCTTTTTTCAATGTCCTGTAGTTTTCTGAGTACAGGTCTGTTACTTCCTTAGTTAAGTTTATTCCTAGGTATCTTATTTTTTTTGGTGCAATGGTAAATGGGATTGTTTTTTTCATTTCTCTTTCTGTGAATTCATTATTGGTGTATAAAAAAGCCATAGATTTTTGGGTGTTAATTTTGTATCCTGCTACATTGCCGAATTCATTTATTAAGTCTAGTAGTTTTTTGATGGAGTCTTTGGGGTTTTGTATAAGAGTATCATGTCATCTGCGAATAAGGACAATTTTACTTCTTCTTTTCCAATTTGGCTGCCTTTTATTTCTTCTTCTTGTCTGATCGCTATGGCTAGCACTTCCAGTACTATATCAAACAGTAGTGGCGAATGTGGGCATCTCTGTCTTGTTCCTGTTCTCAGGGGAAATTAGTTTAGTTTTTGCTCATTGAGTATGATGTTGGCTGTAGGTTTGTCATATAAGGCTTTTATTATGTTGAGGTATGATCCCCCTATTCCCACTTTGCTGAGAGTTTTTATCAAGAAAGAGTGTTGGATTTTGTCAAATGCTTTTTCTGCATCAATTGATATGATTATGTGATTTTTGTCTCTCAATTTGTTTGCTTGGTTGTCTTTATGAAATTCTAAAGATGGCTGTAGACAGATTCTACAGCCATGATTCTGACACTAGATTCCTTTATCTTTTTTTTCTGTTTGCTTATGTGGTCTGAAGAATTGTCAGACATTAGATAATGTCCATCTCCTTAACTGGCAGTGGTGATGCTTAATTGAAAAATGGGAAATTGGGTCTTTCAATTGTGGAGCAAATATTTCACATATATTTCCAAATGAAATATTACATGCCATATAAATCTTGGCAGTAACATTTAGAAATAAAGTAAGTAATGCTTATTGCAAGATGGTACAAATGAGTTACAATCACTTATTGTGTGAATTCCAGTTTTGCCACTTATAATGTGACTCTGCAAATCACTTAACCTTTTTGAGCCTGTTTCCTTTATTTCTGACATGGGGAAAATAGGATTGTTGTGAGGACTAAGTGAGATACTGTCTGGAGAGGAGTTAAAAGAATAAGTGCTCAATTAATAGCTATTACAAGTTCAGTGAGTAGAGGTTGAACCACATGGTCTCTAATTTCTTGATTCCTTTTTTAAAAAAATATGTTTTTATTACTTTTAGAGAGAGGAAGGGAGATGGAGAGAGGGATAGAAACATCAATTATGAGAAAGAATCATTGATTGGCTGCCTCCTGCATGCTCCCTATTGGGGATTGAGCCTACAACCTGGGCATGTGCCCTGACCGGGAATCAAACCATGACCTCCTGGTTCATGGGTCGAAGCTCAACTAATGATTTGCAATGGCTGGGTTTTAATGTCTTGATTCTAATTCATATATTTCCTAAAGGCAATTACACTTCTAATAACACTCACAATGATGTTTCTATATTCCTTTTAGTTGTGGTAGGAAGTGGGGGTAATAAACTTTGCAAAGACATAAGTTCACACAGAAGAGTACAAAAGCATCATTTTCCATCTCCTACTTTATATTTTATTAACATTAAAATTATTTTAATTGATGTCTTGATCCTCTTCTTTAGAACAAAAATGTTACCTGGGTAGAAGTACTAGAAAAATTACCTGTGAATTTCATTTTCTTTCAAGTGATAGTGTCCAAAAAGCCATGTGTCAGCTTGAAGAGAGGGAAACTTGTAGTATTCACAGAATAATAAAATGGCTGTTACTCAAACTTTCCTGTAGCACCTAAAATGCTTAGAGAAATGGCATGGTCTCTGGATATTCATATTATTTTGATGTGAACCATATTTTACATTTTCTTAGATACTTCAAAAGCCAGCTATTGTGTAAGGAAGAATGGCTGTGGCTTGCTGATTTTATAGGAATGCTGAGAAGCAGAAATTATGAGCCAAGGGAAATGGGGTGCTGGAAAAGTCTCATTGAGACCTGACATATATTGAGTGTCTTCCCAGAGTATAGCTCTGAAGGTATTTGAGTATTTGTGTGTGTGTTGTTGTTTTTTTGTAATTCCTCACTCTTGACTTCTACATGGTAGGGTATTCCGATCTTTGGTCCTAGATGTCCTGCTGCCTATTTGGCCTGGGACTGTAGTTTGTGCATTTTGCTGGACTCACTGGATTGGGTCCTGACCTGCCTCTGTCAACAATCCTGCACCGTATCATCTGCTGGAGCATCTGTTCTGGCTCAGGTGATGGGCCCAAAGCCACGGGCTGGCCCTATGCTGTCTACTCCATGCTGCCATTTGACCAAGACCTGCTAAATCTTTAGATTTAAATAGCTAGAAACAAAATCTCCTAAAGGACCTGTAAAAGGTGGTGGGTGTTTATACTCAAAGTAGAAAGGGCCAAAAAACTAGTAAATTCAGGGTGGGAACGGCATAGTAAAATTCTGATCAGGAAGTCCCCAGAGATGTTCAGGGAGGGTGCTCAAAACAAACTTGTCTTGGGGGTGAGTGGCATCTAAACACAATACACTTGTGCTAACTTCATCTCAAAGGACCAGAGAAGTTCAGTAGGCCATTGTGCTTGTCTGAGAATTGTGCTTGAGGTGTAATAAAATGAATAAATCCACAGACTGTATGATATCCTCATGCTTGGTTGTCTTTTTATAGAATTCTAAAGATGGCTACAGACAGTTTCTACAGCAGGGCCTATCAGCAATGCTTCTTTGTTTCAACAGATCACTGCCGAGGTTCTGACACCCTGCCAGGCAGGCAAGGCTCTAAGGGGATCAAGAAAATCATATTTGTCCTAGCTAGTTTGGCGCAGTGGATAGAGCATTGACTTGTGGACTGAAGGGTCCCAGGTTCGATTCCAGTCAAGGGGACATATCTTGGTTGCAGACTCCATCCCTGGCCCTGGTCTGGGCGCTTGCGGGAGCAACCAATTGATGTGTCTCTCTCATATCGATGTTTCTCTCTTTGTGTGTCTCCCCCTCCCTTCCTGCTCTCTAAAAAAATCAATGAAAAATATCCTTGGGTGGGGATTAACAAGAAAAAGAAAATGAAATTTAATCCTTTTCTATCCCTCCATTATTTGTCCTTTTTTCTAAACTCTCAGAATTCCTCCCAATTCATTAAGTAACAGTCTTCTCTTACCTTCTCATTGTCCATTGTATCTTTGCTATCAAGATACCCAAATGGACAGGGCTTCCTGGATGTGTCTCATGTACTACAGCTATTCTCATCTCTTGCTTCTTTCCTTTCTACCCCAGGAATCAAACACATAAACAAAATCACCCATTCTTGTTTCATTCCCTTTCCTTAAAACCTTTAGATTTTGCTCCTCTCTGACAAAATATAAGACAGTCCAGAACAATTTCAAAAAATTAAATAAAACTTACAGTTAAAGACTGCTGCTTGCTTCGGCAGCGCGTGTACTAAAATTGGAACAATACAGGGAAGGTTAGCATGGCCCCTGCTCAAGGATGGCACACAAATTCGTAAAGCCTCCCCACCCCCGCCAAGAAAAACTCTGCGTCTTATGTTATCCAACAAACTTCCAAATTAGGAAACCTTAATTTTTATAGAGTGTGCAAACCGAATAAAACAGCTCAAACATGATAGAGATTTCTTTCTCTATCATGTTTGAAAATAGAAAGCAGGTATTTCTAATTGATGGGAAGCAAGTAGACATTCAGGTACCCAGGCTCCTTTCAACCTCTACTTTCCACACTTGCCATGCATCAAGCTAGCATGAGGTGGGGGAGCATGAAGCAGCACATGGGGAAGTTTTTATGGGTCAAACTCACATCCCAATTGCAAGGGTGACTGGAAAATGTAGACAGGTGTTTGCCCAGAAAGCAGTTTCACCCACAAGTCTTAAAGTTTAATGGTAGGAACATTTTCTTCTCTCCTAATAAGCCAACATGCTTTATTTTGAAAATTAAGGAGAGTCATGTGCCTAATGGTGTTTTGTGTTCTGCCTTAGCTGCCATGAAGTTAAAAGCTAAATTTAGTGTTCAACTGATAGAACTATTTTTAGCATAGATTTTTCTGGGACAATTATCTGATATTTTCATTCTATGACTCTTGTTCTTTTATCTTGGCTTTAATGGTCCTATTGCCTATGAACCTTCTGTTGTAACTGAACTAGAACTCTTTCTGGAGATCAGTGGAGGTAAAATGATGAATACAAATTTAATTTATTTCAAGTGTGGTAAGATTTTACAAAGCACTTCTGTAAGTATTTTGATATTTGATCCTCTCACCAACCTGGAATGTAGTCAGGGCAGACATTTTTATTTCCCATTTACACATAAGGAGAATGAAGCTCAAAGCGTTTAATTGAATTACCCATGGGGCAGACAGAGCTAGGGCTCAGGGGGTAGATTGTCAATTCTCCAGCCCATTGTATGGCGCGGCTCCCACAAGACAACCTCTCTTTGGGATATTGCTCTAAGAACTAGGATAAGGGGCTTCATTAACAAAACAAGCATGCTATGTTACTAACACACAGGCACCGTGTCTTGGTAACTTGGAATTAATGTGTATTCAGCAAATAATCAACAATTCCTACAATGAAATCAATGCAGAGAAATAATGGAAGAATAGAAGGAAAAGATAAGAATAACCCATTGCTTTTTAAAAATTATATTTTCCTCTCTAAAGGCATTTCAATGAAGACTGTGAGAAGGCAAACAGGTAAAGCTTAATTTATAACTCTATTACATAGTGCACAGTGCATTCAGCAGCCTCGGTCAATTCATCACCTACTGAACACGGGCAGCGGGTCAGAGCATTTTTCGCCCCGATGCCCTTAGTGGAATCAAAAACCCTATTTTGATGGCAGCAGAAAATCAGTGAGGCTCGGCAGGTCCCTCTCCTCAGCATTAGGTAATAGCGTGAAGACAAATCCAATTCCAGTGCAGCTGGCACAATTGGAAATGACAGAGGACTCTTTGGTGGTTTCACCTGACTTGTTAGAATTCACGGGTGAGGTTAGCCAACAATGTCATCACCAAAACACAGGAAGTGAAGTTGTGTGTCAACATGTGAAAATGTGGTTTTCTTGAACGCTGTGGTCTTTGTGCTGAATTTTGTGACAAGTTCTAACAGCTTCATGCCTTTTCCAGTTTATCTGTGTGCTTTTGGAACAGGTGCTTATAAAACTTAACGGGGATCAGAGAGTGTTATGAGGAGTGCTTTTTGTGAACAAATAATTTAACCTTGAGCTTTGGCCAGGACTGGAACAGGAAAGGAAACCACAAAACTTGTTATAAAGGTGAGAGAAGGAAAGCAAAGGTGCTTATGGCTATTCATTTGTGGTGCATCGATGTAGCCAGACCTATAGACCAAATACTACTTTTTCAAATTTACTGAGAATTAAAAGAAAACAAGAAAGGAAATAATTGTCGCTTGTACCATTTTGATGTCACATTTCTCACATATTGCCCAGTATAGCATACCCAATGATGACACAAGACCCCACCAACTCTGTTGCTAAAAATAAGAAGCCTCTGTATTTTCCTTTTAAATGAAGTTTGGTGTAGATTCTCTAAACTTTCTCCCAGCTCTAAAATGCATGAATTCAGGATTCATTAAATTCTTTGACTCAATTTATGGTTTCTAACAAGAGGACAGCAGCCCAAGTGCCCATCAGTAGATGAGTGGACAAAAAAGCTGTGGTACATTTATACAATGGAATACTACACAGCTGTTAAAAGAAGGGCATCTTACCTATTGTGACAGCATGGATGGACCTGGAGATTATTAGGCTAAGTGAAGTAAGCCAGTCAGAGAAAGACAAGTACCATACGGTCTCACTTATATGTAGAATCTGATGAACAAAATAAACTGATGAACAAAATAGAACCAGAGGCATGGATACATGGAACAGACTGACAGCTGTCAGAGGGGAGGGAGGCAGGGGGGACTGGATGAAAGAAGGTGAAGGGATTAACTAAAGAACATAAAAGCATAACCCACAGACACAGAGAGCAGTGTGGTGATAGAGGGATAGGGAGGTGGGGGCTGGGTGAAGGTGGGTAAAGAGTGGGGCTGGGAATGAAAAGAGACTTTGCTTTGGACGATAGGTGCACAATGCACTATGCAGATAATGTTGTATTGAGTTGTACACTTGAAACCTGTATGGTTTTGTGAACCAATATTACCCCAAAATTCAATTAAAATATTAAAAACAACAACAATTAAAATTGTTTTTAAAAACAGTGTATGTTTAACCTTCTGTAGTGATATTTCCAAATGCAGATCACTGAAGCTCAATTGTCTCTTGGCTTCACCATTCCTCTGACCAGGCTCTTGCCCCCAACTTCCTAGCTTCAACAAAACAGATGCTAGTAATAAACTCATTTAGGTCTAGAGCAGAAAACTGACAACGTCCACAGGCAGAGAAAAATGATATGGACAATTACACATTTCGGTGATTAAGATTATCTTTATTTAAAAGTGAAAGATAGATTTATCGATTTTTGTTTTTCCTGCAGTTGCAATTAAATTCTAATTTACCAACTGATAGCAAATCTAGTTGTTGAAATTTTGGACTGGCAAAGTTTAGTTCCAAACTTCAAATTTAGTACAGAGATTTCAAGATCTGTGCCTTCGTTAGCCACAAAATTTAAACTCCATTTATATTGGTGAGCTTTTGAATCACGAATATCATAATGTAAATGAAAATTAAAACCAACTAAAATCTATTCAAGCAAGCAAAAGGAGCAATATGAACTTGGCTGGTAAACTAATCTCTCCTGTTCTGTTGTTCAATCTCTCATGAATGTGCATTGGGAGGTGAAAATTGCAGGAGATGATATAAACTGCTGCCTCTGTTTTGGAATTACATATCTAATTTTCTCCAGAAGATGTTCATGGGGTTTGACAGCAAACACTAATACATATTCATTATCAATATGCTTTGTAACCAAGGGAAGTTGAGGCAAGCGCGACAGAATGAAGCATGAGAAAGCAGCATGTTCATTTTAAATTTAATTACAGAGATGGAGGAAAGAATGCATGTTGAGAGCACATACTAATTCAGCTGTCACGAAACATTACCCCAAAATCAAGCCAAATATTTGGCAGAAGAAATGTTATTTATGGTGAAGTGCTTGTTAAAACTAGCAGGTTCTGGGGAAAACAAGATTCTGAGATCCTATTAGAAACAATTTTTCATGTAGAGAAAAAGAAACATTGCCGAATTCTAATGATCTCAAGTAAATGCAGAAAAAAAAAAAGAAAAGAAAAAAAAAAAAGCTCTCTAACTAAGGAAAGATTTCTGAGCCACACAAGATTTCTATTTATGGCCAGCACCGGTTTGGCTCAGTGGATAGAGCGTCGGCCTGTGGACTGAGGGGTCCCGGGTTCGGTTCCGGTCAAGGGCATGTGCCTTGGTTGCGGGCACATCCCCAGTGGGGGCTGTGCAGGAGGCGGCTGGTCGATGTTTCTCTCTCATCGATGTTTCTAACTCTCTGTTCCTCTCCCTTCCTCTCTGTAAAAAATCAATAAAATATATTTTAAAAAAAGATTTCTATTTATGGAAAATTTTTTTGACATGGTTAAAGGTTAAATTCAGTTTGAAATGGGGAAAAACAATAATTAATATGATTCTTGTGACCTTATAATAATCTTGGTGCCTTGACCCATGTGTCATTCATTATGACCAGCCCACCTACCTTCCCCTCTTAAGTATTTGAAGAGCATACACCTTGTCTGTCTTGTTCAAAGCTGGTGTTGTGAGCTTACAATAGAGTTTGACATGGAGCGGGCACTAATGTATATTTGTTTAATAAATAAATAAACCTACCCATGCTAGCCTGTGTGCTGTACATACTCAATACACATTTGTTAATGAATAGATCAACAGATAGATATATAGATGGATAGATGGAAATATTTCTCTAAGTGTCTTACAACTCATCAGACATTACTTTTCAGGATCTGGAAGAAAATGCTAACCAATGGATAAGGGCAGTGATCCTTAGTCAGTGACATGCAAACACACTGTCAGGTTTGACAGAGGAGAAAATACCCAGATTTCTGATCAAATTGAATTATGCTCTCTCCGTAGTTTTTAACTGGGACCTATGTCCTTGCCTTGGGCAAGTCCTTATTTACCAAGCAGGAGAAAAGAAGAAAGTTTTTTTTTCATCATTACATTATAGAATATTACTATAGGAAAATGTTAAGGGGATAAAACATAAATAACATTTCTGAAAGTTGGCAGGTTTTTGAAAAAATTGTCTGCTTTGGGAATGTATTGCTCTGTTTTACTATAAAGTATGTACATGTTTAGGCTTACTAGTACTATTTTTTAGCAACCAATTGATGAGTTTTATGAAGAATGAGAAAACCACAACTTTGTATGCAATCTCATATTTTTCTGAAGCAAGTGTAAATCTGTTCAACCATCTCCAGAGTGGGGCTTGGCAAGATATATCAAAAACTTTAAGAATGTGTGAATTCTATGACTCAGCAATTCTGTTTCTAGGAAATTTCCCTCAGGAAATA